TCCTTGGCCCTTAGCAAGTGTGGCTTAGTATCGGGCTAGCAGCAGAAGTGAAAATACATTTCTCCTAATGAGTCTGTTCAATCTTAAGCTTTCTTATTCTTTATTCTAATATTCTTTCAGGAAACAAATCACCAAATTCTCAAATAATCCCCTTTATTTTCATACACTGATTATAATTAATCTCTTTTGCCAAATTAATTCAATTATATTCCATTTTTACACTTACTTGGAGAAATTCAGGTACCAAAAGATAATTTTCCTACCATTATTTATTTTATATACTCAGTGGGGACTGAGGCCATATAATTATCACTTCTCAGTTTCTAAAAACTTGTGACAGTTGCTATAATAAAAATTATTTCCCAGTAGTGCCAGAGATATAATATTAGGTTTTGGAAGCACATCAAAATCCCAATATGAAAAATAATGTGTTACTATGTAATGTATTCCTTAAAACATAATTTGAAGTTAACTTTTTCAAATATCAATACATCTATATGGAAAACTGACACCACTTTTGGCTTCTTGACTTTTTTAGGGTCTATCCAAAGTCCAAATGCCAAACCTTCCTCACTTCCAGTTTCTCCTATAACCATGATCAAATCTTGTACCCAAATCATCATGTCTTACTTAGTTTTTCTACTTATAAATTATGGATGATAATATCTGTTCCTTACTTGCTACATGTCATATATCTCCTTGTGCATTTCAGGATATAGTCTGTTTTAAAATAAATAACCACCCAATTTTCCCTTCCATTAAGCCAAGGTTAAAAATAGATTTTAAAATCTGAATACACCTGCATTTTGAATTCCTTAGAGTAAGTTAACATACGAAAACTGTTATTGAAATTCTTGACAGGACTCTTAATCATTACAGATTCATACGATGAATTTTATGAATGACATTAAAAAGGAAAGGAAATATTCTTCCCTTCCTTTGAAGCCCTTTCCTTAAACTTTCTAATGTGATTAATGTGGTGTACATCTCAGGGTTTTTATTCTCACTGAGTACGATATGGGAGCAATGGAGAAAGTTATGAGGAAAGCTGAAAATCACAATAAGGCAAATTTCTGCTTTCCATGGGAATATTCCCTACAACGACCAAGAGACTAGCAAATACTATGCATCCCCATCATGGATGAGAAGCAAGAGTTTGCTCTGAAATTGACTTCAGAGTAGAGACGCCAAAGCAAATAAATCACTGTAAGTGAAATACTTTGAAAGGTAATGGGTTTTAAAAATATTTGTGCAGGTTAAATTTTTTAATTGGAAGTATTCGTTACTGTCAGATGTGATGAGGGCACATGCCCATCAGATCTCTAGAGATCTTCTCCTGGTATATGACTCATTATTTTTAGACCAATCCCTAGAACAGCAGACACCCCCAACAAATGTTACTGCATGAAGAAAAATAAGCCAAAGTTCAAACGTGTTACACTTCACCTAAGCCAAAACTGTATTCTATCAAGCAAGAATTAAGTAAAGTCCTCAAAGTTCTTAGATTCCTTCAGTCCCTACACGTTTTTCATCAGTAAGAATTATGATGAGCAAACTTATTTGCCTATTTGACCCAACTACTCAAACCATGAATAGAATAAAAAGCAAAACAGACTTTTGTTTCCTAGGCTGCCCTGCCCTGAGCCAAGTTCATCCTCAAAGACTCTGTTTCACTTTGTATTGCCATTGTGGTGTGACCTACAACCCTCAAACCATTTATAAAGAATTTTGAGAGAAGAATGGCACTTTTACAGGTTACCAAGTCTCTACAGTGGCTCCATTCCATTTTTTTTTTCTTTCCTTTACAGGAATCTTTTGTAACTGAAGTAAAAAGCCTTCAGTCATCTCTCTGATGTAGGATGAGGGAAATCACATCTATGGATAGACAGGAAATAACCTATTTGTTTTCCTAAAATTCCACTGGACATAAATCTCTGATCATAGATGATCAAGGACTTCTCCACTTTATAACCAGAAGTTCACTGTATAGTCATCAAGTCACCCAGATGTTGGTCAGTGAGTCACCTAAGTGGCTTCATCCACCTACCCAGATTCTATGATGAGAACGGTGATTCCCAAATCCCAAAGTAATGGGATAATAACCTTTGTAAAGTGAAGGAAGTACTATATGGTAAGAGGCAACCTGTACAAAAAGAAAGAGAAGAGTGAAGCATTAAACATGTTGATGGACTGGGGGCACAGTCTGGGACCCCTGCTTATTCAAATTCAGCCTAAATGACCTAAGTGGATTTTGACTTTGTCTCAGCCCCTGGGACTGACCTGTACTGCTTTGATCTAGCAGATCTAAACAGGCAAACATTTCAGTATTCCCTAGAGGATATCCCAGACCAGTCACTCCATATCCCTGAGGGAAATGATCCTGAGGAGGTCCCTTTCCTCCAAGTTCATTGTTGTAAGTCTCCAGAGAGGTCCAGAAAGTACTGGACTAATTGAATACCATTAAGATTGCTAAGAGTAATTTGGCTATGAACAGAGAAATTTAAGACCATTGAACTGGTATCACCTTCAGAGTTCAACTGGTCTAGGACATGTAAGTGAGTCTGAAATAACTATTCTGCAAGATTAGAGATAAAATAGAGTTGCCTCTAATTTGAAGAGTGATTGCCACTCTCAGTGATTGCTACTCTGCTAATAAAAAGAGCTAGTTCACTGAATGCTCTAAGCCAGCACTACTCTAAGTATGAGAACATGTACTGATTTGTTTAATTCTCACGACAACCCTAAGAGGTAGGACTTATCACCATTCTGATTTCATCAACGAAGAAATGGAAACTTAGGTTAAGTAACCTGCCCAAAGTTATTCAGCAAATAATGTCCAGCCTGTGGCTCAGTACCAGGCTTCTTTCTGTATGTTCTCGTCCGGCTGCCCTGTCTCTTACTTCCCTGAAAGTCTGGAAGAGTGCCTGTAACCAAACACAGAGAGCGAGATGCAGACAACAAGCACAGGGTCTGTGGCCCAGCTGGGAGGAGAGTTTTTCCTCGCCCAGCTCCTTGAGACCCTTCTCACCAGTCTCCACTAACTGCTTTTCTCTCCACAAAGTCTCTGTTGAAAGAAAACAGATTTACAGATAGCATGAGGGCCACACAGCACAGGCAAGCTTCAGATGGATCCTAGTTTATAAACTGGAAAACTGGAAAGAACAGACAGCTGGCTGTCTACAATGCTCTTTGCATCACACTCAGGGAGCTTCCAAGGCAATTAGGAGCAGTGATGCTCCCAACAGATGCTCCTGAAATTTCAGAATTGCTCAGTTTGTGAAATTTCAGAGTGGCACGATCCGTATGTATGTGACTTAGACATCAAGATGCACTTCTTCCTATCAAAAAAGTGCTCTTCTGGTCCCGGACTTTTTAAAGTTGACATAAGGAAAGGATAGAAGACACACCTGTAAGTGATATTCAAAACCACTGAATGAAGGACTCTTATTTCTTTGTTTCAACTCGCCCAGTCTTAAGGAAAGACTCCCCCCAGCGCCCCCTCCACTGTTGAGTATCTTGACAGTCATTTAGGTGACTAAAATACCCAGTATATCTTAGTGAAAAGCTATTTTTAAAATTACTTGATTTAGAAAACTCCAATCATGATAATTTCATGGGAATTCTTAGTACACAAATTAAAAGTTTTAAATTACTCGGCAAGAATTTGTGAGTTCAAATAATCTTAATGAGAAAATACCTGCATCGATGCATATTTATCAGGTGCTTTTAACATCTGTTCCTGATACAAAATTATTCTGAGGGTAGCTTTATGAGTTGTACCTCCTGTGGTCAGTAATAGCAGTCATGACACAGTTGATACTAGGAGCCAGAAGTAGCCAATCTAGTGTCCCCTCGGCTCTGCCACTTTTAATGTCAGGCCTTGAGAATGTCATTTAACTTCTCCTAGCCTGCTCCCCCTCCCCCCACCGTGCCAAGAGGGTCCCAGTTCCCACCTCCAAGCATAGTTTCACGGATCAAATAAGACAAAAAATTGTTAACTAAATGCACATGAAAGAGACTGTAGTCAGCCTCAAGGCACTAAAACAGACTATTAAAATTACAAACTGAATAGGGACGGCAGTGTGGCTTGGTGAGGAAGACGCAGGTGTAGTCTGCTGCAAAAAGGAATCCGTTTGGCTGATTGGCCAACTTGGTCAACTCACAACCCTGGATGAGTCCGCTCTCAGTGTTCTCATCTGAGAAATGAAACAATACTAACCAGCCCCTAAGGATGATGTGGGGATTAGAAATAATAAATGTAAGGCCTCTATCAGGACAGGCAACATGAGGTGCCCAGTAAATGGCACCCATTTCACATCAAAGAAGCCATTTAATGAAGCCAAGTACGCTGTGTGTTTCAACACTCACAACAGCTGACCAGTGTTCGCCTAGAACAGAACATCCATTAGCAGAGCCCCAAATACCCTCCTGCCATAGCCAGCCCCTGCCTTCATCCCACTTTAGACTCCAGCAGATTAAGGCTGTGCTTGCTGTAGTCACATTTCCTGCTTTAAAACATTATAAAACTTACTAATGAAATTTCAAATGTAAAAAAATCAAATTAATACCACCCAACGTGGCAACCCCAAACGCAGGCTTTTTCCTAACCTTGTACTCCGTGAACTTCTTCACTGTTTGTTACTGATCTGGAGACAAGGGTGGGGTCCGGGGACCAGGGTAAGGACAAAGGCAAAGTGAATCCGCTGCTGTTACCCAGAACGTTGAATTTGAACACAATAAGCCACCTCTGGCTCGCCTCCCCAGCTCCAGAGCGCCAGAGGCAGGCCCGCGAGAGGCGCGGAGAGCTACAAGCTGGAGAGGGGCTGGAGTCCCACCGCGCCCAGCCCTGTCCCCGGGCCGGAACCGTCACCAAGCAGAGCGCGAGTTAGAGGAGTGGAGCTGGGGAAGGGCGCATGCAGTTGGGTTAGTCTGGACTCGACCATGCGGCCGTGCGTTCCTGCTTGGCACACGCGCTTAGGCAAAACAGACTTGATGCTTACAATGATCCCAGCCCAAAATGGAGTGTCTCTGACTAGCAGGGAGGAGCTGATGCTCGCCATGAGAAAGCCCACCACGGTCACGGCGATGCCCAGCGCCAGCTGCAGCAGCGCGAGCAGCAGCGGGAACCGGCAGCCGCAGCACGTCCGGGCCTCCTCCTCCCCGCACTGCTTGGGGGCCCCTTTGCCCGTCTTCGGCCCCATGTCGTCGGGCCCGGCGGCGTCCGCGGCCGGCCCCCCCTGCCTGTGCTGGCCGCGGGGCTGCTTGTCCTTGCCCATGGCCGCTGCGTGGGTGGGTGGGTGGATGCGTGTGCCGCGCGCTGGGCCCCGGAGCGCGGCGCTGGGCGGGCTGAGCCTGCCCTGGTATTCGAATTACGGAGGCTGAACAAATATGGAAAACATTTGGAGCCGACTCGCCGGGCCTCCAAAGGCCACAGGGAGCCCGCAGCAGAGGGGGAGTCGAGGGGGGTCGCCAACTGCCAACGCGCCGGGACGCAGCGCCCGCTGGGCCCACCGCAGGGTTTGCCGACCCCCGCGGGAGTCCGCGCGGCGCCCTTGGCCTTCTAAATCCTGTGGGCCTTATGCACTTTAGACAGGCTACGTGTGTGTGTTTGTGTGTGTGTGTTTTCCTCACTGAAAACCCCAGGACTTTTTTTTTTTTTTTTTTTTGCTTTGTTTTTGTTTTCTGAGAGGTGCAATGCAAGGTGATGAATGTTTAATCATTTGAGTTTAATTAACAGACAGTTTAGTCCAAAATAGGCATTGCTGGGTTCCAAGCTGCGAAGTCATTTCCAGAAGTTAAATTGTTCTTATTTTCCAACAAAGGAATAGGCTCTTCTTTATGAATTCTGCAATCCAGCTGACAAAGGCACGTTTCCCATGGAGGTATCTGATTTTGAAAGCACTGTTTATGAAGATGTTGGGCTAATACACTCTTCCCAGTGCACGTGTTTTTAAAAGTTCTTTCGGTTGTTTATCTGGACTTTCCAACCAGTCTTCAGTAATCTCCACATCAGTGCGGAGGGGCCTTGTGATAGCCCTTGGACAAGGACAATTTAATGCAGTCCACATCAGAGAGATTTTTAAAGCACCTACCATGTGCTACAATGGGAGTTCAAGATAGATTCGGTCCCAGCCCAAAGTCACAGAAAGAATCAATAAAACCAATGATTCTTATTCCCACATACCTGTGCTCAGTAGCACTTAGTGCTCATTTCAGGGAAACCACTGAGAAATGATCCCATCATTTTGGAGTATTTTATATCTACTTTGGTATGGTCACTGTAACATTCAGAAAGACATGTTTAAAAAATAAATGATGTTGATGCTGGGATAAATAAAGCCTGCTCTTAGACTGCTCACTATCCGCTAATTTAGAGAAAGTCTCATTCCCTGCTTTGTTTTCTTAGAATTATAAACTGATCATCAACTCTTTTTGTAAACTACTAGATACTAGCAAAGGCACCTTTGAAGCTATAAAAAAAAAAACAAACAAAGGCTATAAATTAGAAATTGAAGGAGAGTAGTTAGTGTATGATTTGAGATTATTTTGATCCTCTGGGGAAAATAACAAAATTAAGCTTAGTATCTACCTCTGCCATGTCCCCAGTTCCACATTATTGGGAAATATTTACACTTCAGAAGTTCAGAACTGGGAAGATGATAACCAGTATCATTAACAAAAATGTCCTTAGGAGACCCAACTAGAAATAATCTTTAAACCAATGTTTTTCTGAACCCATGATCTTAAGTTCGCCAAGAACAAAAAAGATTTCATAGAAAAATTATTACAGTTCCAAGGACTGTATCAAGTGTCTTTAATATGTAATTAAATGTATCAAAGAGGTCAATTAGATTTGATTTAAAGAAGTATCAAATACTCTACAGAGAACAATTGAAAACTCATTTATGATATGCAGCACCACTGGCCCATACGTAAAATGACTTTACAGGTATTGCTGATATGTGTGTCTGTGTGCGTGTGTGTATAAGAAATTTTAAAAACTCTCATTTTTTTCTATTTTCCTATGTCATTAATTTTCCATGTGTCTTTGGTTCATTTTCTTTTTCCAAAAGAATTGACCCATTTGTGGGTTTTTTTTCATGACAATTTATATTTTCAGGTTAAGTGTTATATGGGAAGTGTACTCTTTATGGTCAAGAGAGGGCTTATAACTTTCTCATTCTACAGACAATGTACAGAGCTGTTAACTACCAGTCATTTCCTAATGCATTCAACCTCCTTATATCATGTTATTTATAATGATATCAAATTTTTCAACAAATAATTTTGTTCATGTAGTTTTATCCATGTAATTTTGATGTTTTCACTGCGTATGATGAAATAACTAAATTAATTTTAAAGAAGAATAGTGGGAGAAGAATGCATAAACAAGCTGTGGTATATCCATACAGCAGAATACTACCTGCCAATAAGAAGGAATGTATCATTCACTGTATGTTAATTATACTTCAATTAAAATTTTTAAAAAAGGGTTAACTATTGACATAAGCAATCATCTGAATGAATCTCACTAACAGTGTGCTAAGAGAAAGAAAACATAAAGAGAAACATAAGAGAAAGAGACATAAAATAATATATGTTGCATATTTCTATTTATATGCAAGTTTTTGAAGGTCAAAACTAATCTTTGATTATTGAATTTAAGAAGTGATTATGGAGTTGGCATCAGAGAATTGATTGGAAAGGAGCAGGAGGGGACTTCTGGAATGACAGAAGTCTTCTTTATCTTGACTTAGGTAACAGGTATGTGAGTCTAAACATTTGTGAAAACTCATCGAACAACATTTAAGATCTATGTATGTTATTTTATGTAATGATATCTCAATTTTCAAAATGTGATAAAAAGAACTATAGGAAGTCACTGTATATCCATCAGGAATTAACTTGAACAAGTTGGGGATTTTTTAAGTTTATTATTGAAGTACAGCTAACATACAATGTTATAATAATTTCAGGTGTCCTCAGATTTCACAGTTCTATACATTAATCAATGCTCACCATGATAAGTCACAATAGTCACTATCTGTCACCATACAAAGTTATTGCAATATTATTGACCATATTCCCTATACCATACTTTTAATCTCTATGACTTATTTTAGAACTGGAAGTTTGTACCACCAATCCCCTGCATCTTTTTCACCCATTCCTCCACCCACTTCTCTTCTGGTAACTACTGTATTCAAGAGTTTGTTTGTTTTGTTTCTTAGATTCTACATGTAAGTAAAATCATAGGGTATTTGTCTTTTCCTGACTTATAACACTTAACAGAATACCCTCTATGTCTATCCATGTTGTGCCAAATGGCAAGATTTTCACTCTTTTTGCTATGGTTGTTCCAAATGGCAAGCTTTCATTCTCTTTTCCACTATTATGGAGAATAAAATACATATATATATATACATATATACACACACATATATATATACACACATATATATGTATATAATTTTTTTTCATATATCGCATCTTCTTTATCCATTCATGTATGCATGGACACTTTGGCTGCTTCCATATCTTGGCTGTTGAAAATAATGCTGCAATGAACAGGAATTCATATATCTTTTTGAATTAGTGTTTTTGTTTTCTTTGGTAAGTATCCAGTAGTGGAATTACTGGACTATATAGTATTTCTTTCTTTATTTTTTTGAGAAACTATACTGTTTTCTATTGTAGTTGCACCAATTTACATTCCCACCAAGAGCACACAAGGACTCCTTTCTCTCCACATCCTTGCCAACATTTATTTTTTGTCTTTTTGAGAACAGTCATCCTAACGGGTATAAGGTGATTCCTCATTGTGGTTTTGATATGCCTTTCCCTGATGATTAGTGATGTTGGGCATCTTTTACGGGTCTGTTGGCCATCTCTGTGTCTTCCTTGGGAAAATGTCTGTTCAGATCTTCTGCCCATTTTAAAATCAGTTTTGGTTTTTTTTTTTCGTATTGAATTGTATAAGTTCTTTATATATTTTGGATAATAGAGAGTTGGATTTTTTCAGTTATCTTACCAAACTCTCTTAATTTTCTCCTACCTTTCTGGCTCCTCTGTATTAATCATCTATTGCTACATAATAAATCACCCCAAAACTTAGTGGTTTGAAACAACAATAATTATCTCTTATTTCACAGTTTCTGTGGGTCTCATATTCCAATGGGGCACAGCAGGGATGGTTTGTTTCTTCACATTATCTGGGGTCTCACTTGGAAGCCTTGAAGACTGGGGTCTGGAATCATCTCAAGTTTTGGCTGAAGCAGATGGCTCTGCTTTCAAGGTGACTTACACCTCCAGCTAGCAAATTTAGTCCTCTCCATATGACTTCTCCACTGACTGGCTCTCCACTGGGCTGTTCCAGTATCCTGACAACATGGTGGACTGCTTCAACCAGAACAAGAGAGTCAGAGATGGAGGGAACAAGGTAGAAGCTATCCTTTTCGTGACATGACCTCAAAAGTCCGAGTAACTTAGTAACTCTTACTCACATTCTTTAGGAGACAGTCACTAAGTCCAGCCTACACTCAAGGGAAGAAGAATTTAGATCCTTCTATTGAAAGGAAAAGTATCAAAGACATATTTTAAAACCACAACCCTCTCCTTCTCAGCTTTCTTCACCGTACATTGCCTTCGCCAAACTCCTAGATGTTGGTGTTCTTTGTCTTCTGTCTTCTTACACTACACATTCCATGACTTCACTGCAGATCCCCAACTCTAAGAATCCCAGACTTCTGTCCTCAGCTCTAGGTCTGCAAATATAAATACCTACTCATATCTTCATTTCAATGTCCCAAATGTATCCCAAACTCACTCCCTCCTTGAACTCCACAGAGAATCAAGTAAGGGAAACATAAAATGTCCAGAGGCTTTAGTGGCAAGATGGCCACTGATTGCTTTTGCCAAAAGCAGTCCCATATAGTAGTTTTAAGATTTCAGTGAGTTTAAGAGTGAATGGGAAGGGACAAAGGGGAAGAACGTGTGTAAAGAAATCCATGGGAAAGCTTAGTGGAGAAAGGAAGAGGGGAAGAAAAGCTGTAGCTAAAGGGATAATATAAAATTGAGGAAAATTTTGCCTCTTTTTTTTTTTTTTTGGATAATTGATCAGATAAGTTCCTTGAGGCAGAAAAATTAGTCAGATGGAAATTCTCTGCATAGGCTGAGATAGGAGGAAAGAATGCAAGACAATAGAATGCAGTTAAGTTTCCAGGGTTGGAAAGAAGGCAGCTGAGAGAATTCAGATCTTTAGCCTTTTCTACAATATGTATATAATGAAGGTAGCATCAAATATTTTTCTTCTAAATGGTGTACATTTTAGATACAGCGCCTTTTTACTCCCAGAT